CTGATGAAATCAAGCTTCTCTTAGGAATATGGAATGGCCTCTAAGAACCAAGCTCAGTCTCTTTTCAGAATCCTTGTAAAAATTCTCCACTGACCCAGAAGAGAAGTTATCAAAATCTGGCCCAAGTCATGTCCCCATGAACTCTTCAAAGTGGCAGGGCTCCCTTTAGTACTTAAAATGATGGTCTTTTTTTTTGCCTCCCCCCAGGTCCTGGTACATCTGTGGTGAAGGATGTTGCCTTAGTCCATTTTGTGCTGCTGTAATGGCATAACTAAAACTGGATAACTAATAAAGAATAGACATTTATTTGGCGCATGGTTCTAGAGGCTGGAAAGTCCAAGATCAAGGGGCCACATTTGGTGAGGGCCTTCTTGTTATGTAACAACATGGCAGAAGGCATCAAATGGTTAGAAAGCATGCATGAGAGACAGCAAGAGAGGGCTGAGCTTGCTTTTATAACAAAGCCATCCTCTCAATAATGAATCCACTCCTGTGATAGTGACAATGATCCATTGTCACTATCCATTGATCCATGTCACTATCCGATGATCCATTGTCACCCTCCATTCATGAGGGCAGAGCCTTCATGACCTAATCATGTCTTAAGTAACCCACTCCGAATACTGTTGCATTGGGGATGAAATTTCCAACACATGAACTTTGGGGAACACACTGAAACCATAGCAAATGTAAAACCTTATTCCTTTTGCCCATTATTAGGGCCAAATCAAGTGATGATCTTTTCTTGTGGAGGTCTTCTGTGATGTACTCTCCTGCCCAGAGGACTCAGAATGCTAAATGTTAAAATGCATCATGGGGCACAAATAAAACCACCTCTAGCATAACAGGGAAACAGAACTTGAGGCAACAGTGGCCATTATATGTTGAAAACATTTAAAGGGTATGTGTGTGCTTTTAGGACTATCCTGAAGTGTGATTTCCATATAGAATATTTATACATCTGGTACATAACTTCTACCTTGTACTGTAACAAAAAACCCAAAATAGATGGTATTTCAGCTTAGTTCCAGCTTCTAAAAGCTTCCATCAGAGCAAAGGTAGGGGTGGACGGAGTCATTTAGGGAGCTTTCTCTTTGTGGAAAAGGAATTAATTCCTTGGGAACTCAACGCTTAGAAAGTGTTTGGTCTAAGTCATGTCAGGCAGTTGATAGAAGCATGAAGCCCTGAGGTGTCAAAATTTTCAGAAATGGTCTCATTAGAGAGTTCAAAAAGTTGACCATAGTAAAAGGAACTCCCACACACCCATCACATCAAAGCTGAACCTCTTTCAGGCCTAAATTTTCCTTTTGTTTTATTATGAGCTATAATCTGTCTTGAGGCTCTTTTAAAGAACACATACATTTACTTTGATTTACTAGTAAATAACTAATAAATTATTTTGATTACTAGTAAAATAGATAATGGTGATAGTTGTTATGTATTGCTTACTCTGTGCTAGGCACCATTTTAAGAGACTGACAGATTAACTCAGAAAATGCCTCCAAAAAGGATTACAGGTAATTACCATCATTATACACTTTTTACAAATGAGGAAACTGAGGCACATAAAGGAGAACTGGCTTGTCCAAGGTCACAGCCATAAAAGAGGAGGAAAGAGAATAAATATCCAGGTAGTGAAGTCAATAAGCCATTTGGCAAATTCAGAATCTACTGGGTCTCATAAAACACTGGGGATTCAATATTCACTTTTATGATTTTTAAAATAAACTGTATTGAGGTATAACTTATATAGTATGAAGTATAAAAATTTTTAGTACATTTTGATGAGTTCTGAAAATTTATACAGCTTTGTAAACACCACCACAATCTAGATATAGAACATTCTATCATGCTAAAACATTCCCTTATTCCTCTACCCAGTGGATTCTCCCCCTCTCATCCCTAGACAATGAATGGGCTGCTTTCTATCCCTCTAGATCAGTTGTCTTTCCTAGAATTTCATATAAATAGAATAATGTAATACAACTCTACCCTCTTGTGCCTGGCTTCTTTTGCTCAGCATAATCTTATAAGATTTAGCAATGTTGTTACATACATTAGTAGTTTCTTCTTCTTGTTATTGCTGAGAGACATTCCATTGTAAGGTAATATAACTTTTTATACTTTTTTTGTTAATAGATATTTTGTTCTTTCCAGTCTGGGGTTATTATGAGTAAAGATTCTATGAACATTTGTGTACAATTCTGTGTTTCTCGGGATAAACACCGAGAACTGAAGTTGTTGGTGATGCCTTTGTAAAGAACTGTCAAATGGGTTTGTAATGGTGCCACATTATAATTTTAATTTGCATTTTCTTTCTTACCAAAGCTTTGCACATCCTTTCCAGTACTTATTGGCCAACTATGTGTCTTATTTTGTGAAATGCCTCTTTTAATATCTTCCTTTTTCCCCTTATAACTGGGTTGTCTGTAGTATTATTACATTATAAACATTCTTTACACAATGTGGATGCAAGTCCTTCGTCAGATATACCTACTAGAGATATTTTCTCCCAATCTGTTGTTCTTTTTCATTTTCATAAAAGCTTAAAATCAGAAGCTTTAAATTTTAATGAATTCCAACTTATCTTTTTGCTTTTACATTTCATGTTTGTGTTCTATCTTAAAAATCTCCAGGTACCTCAAAGTATAATTAGGTTCTTCTGTTTTATGACAGAAATTTTGAACTACTGGCAATTTTGCTCAGATCTATAATTTATTTTGAGTAAGTTTTTAGATATGGTATAAAGATCAAAGTGCATTTAAAATAAATTTTATGTTAGCACCATTTAAAAAACAATCATCTTTTTTTCTATTAAATTACTCTGGAACATTTGTCAAAAATAAACTGATGATGTTCAGTTACAGCTCACAGAAGTGAAGAGCAGGAAAGTACATTGCTTCTATCTGTGACTCAAGGAAACAGCTGGGAAGACTTTAACAACTTTTCCTGAAGGCATCAGATATCTGAGGTCCAGGGTAAAAACTGACTGAAAATTTGGAAAGCTAGGTGGCTACAGAGAGTAACAAAGATCCAAGCAATTGCTTAACTACAAGAATGCCAAATGCTGTATAAAATGGCTCTGGCAGACAAGCTCTTAGACAATATGCAAGATCAACTAGGTAATTTTGGCAGAGATGGAAACTACAATAAAGTTAAAATGCTAGAGATGGAAACCACAGGACCATAAATGAAGAATACCTTCCAAGGGCTATAAGTATACTCTAACACTACTGAGGAAAGAATCAGTCATGTTGAATACATATAGATAGATAGACAGACAGATATATTTACAGGTGTATTTGTGTGTGTGTGTAATGTACTGGTGACCCTGAGATAATACAAAAGTTAGAAAAGAGTTTGTCTTCTTTGTAAACAGGCAGTTTTCAAAACTGCAAAAATAGCCCTTCCTGTATGCACATGTCAGAGGCAGCAGGAGAAAGGGAATGTGATATGGCACTCTGACCTTTCAGATATTTTCTGCCAAAGGTTTATTTGTTATTAATAGACATATGGCAAGTTGTAACTGATGTCAGAATAGTTATTAAACAAGGGGGATATAATTCTATTATAACAGGTTTGAGTTCTAATACACATATTAATATAAAACAAATATCTAGTAAGTGACATGCACATATACATAATCACATAAACAATAGACAACTAAGAAAATATTCACATACTTTTGATGCTACTGTTTAGTTTATGCAATTTTTTTTTGTTCCATTTAAGTTTTTTGTTCTAGTGAATATCTATTAATCAATATTGTTATACTTCATTAAAGGCTTTGACATTACATATGAAACAATAGTTTTTGATATAACAATCTCTATATAAAATATAAAGGCTATTACTTACCTTTCTCAAAATTTTTTTTTTTTTTTGAGACAGAGTTTCACTTTGTTGCCCAGGCTAGAGTGAGTGCTATGGCGTCAGCTTAGCTCACAGCAACCTCAAACTCCTGGGCTCAAGCGATCCTACTGCCTCAGCCTTCCAAGTAGCTGGGACTACAGGCATGCGCCACCATGCCCAGCTAGTTTTTTCTATATATATTAGTTGGCCAATTAATTTCTTTCTATTTATAGTAGAGATGGGGTTTCACTCTTTCTCAGGCTGGTTTTGAACTCCTGACCTCAAGCAATCCGCCCGCCTTGGCCTCCCAGAGTGCTAGGATTAAAGGCGTGAGCCACCTCACCCAGCCTACCTTTCTCAAATTGATAGATTTTCCCCTTGTAACAAACTCTGATAATAAAGTTTAATAATTTGTTGAAAACATTTACACGTTCAAAACTCAATTATCAGATATTTCATGGGACTTTTTTTGGTAAAGGATTCCCTACAGGTGTTGAAATGTTGGATTTCTTCCTTTGATATTACCTGACTGATGAGGAAGAGTTGTGGATAAAGCTGTGGTCATTTAGAATGTTGTGAGAGGTTTCTCCTTTGTGACTTTTCTGGTATACACTGAGTTTAGATGTCCTCAAAAATTATATCCATAAGTTTTATTAAATGCGGCTGCTGAGTTTACGTCAGTATCAAGTGTACCCCAAATCTTTAGAAGCTCAGCAAAGAACAAGTTTATTTCCTCACTGCACAAAGTCCAACTGTATACATGGAGAAGAAAACTCCATTCCACAGAGTCCTTCTTTGACTTTGCTTCCTACCATCTTTTACTCTTCCATCAGTGCCTGAGCCCCAAGGTTTCCCTCCATTCCATTCTGATGAGGGGCAGTAGAAAACATTGAGAATTTGAGTGATGTATTTAATGAGACTTGTCTGTCATTGACCCCACATACCACAAGCTAGAGGTTAACAATATGACCCCATTTGGATGACAGAGTGGTTGAGAAATTTAGATTATGTGTTGCATGAGGGAGAAGTGGAAATGGTTGTTGATGAACATTTTAATAATCATTATATGACATATGGTGATTACTTTTGTGTAAGTCAAACGGAAGGTTGACTTAAGGTAGAAGTATTTCTCACATCCATTACTTTCATTCTTTTTTTTTTTTTGGTCTGTTTTAATATACTAACTGTAAGGTCTCTATCCTCTTACATATTTTCTGCTGTACTGAGATAGTTGGCTTTTCACTAAAGGTTATCACACACTTATTATATTCCAGGCTTTCTCATTGTGTGATTTCTCTGATGATGCATAAGTGTTGATTGCTAGCACAAAATTTTCACATTTTTATTAGTTTCTCAGAGCTTTTCTGCAGCTTGAGTTTTCTGAGGATTCAGTTCAGAGTATTTCCCATATTTATTATCTTTATAAGGGTTTCTTTGCTGCGTTACTTCTCTGATATCCAATGAGGATTTCACTGTAGCCGAAAGACTGCTCTCATAAAATATATTTCAATAATTTCTCTCCTAAGTTCTTTGATATTTTGCAAAGGTTGAAATTGTGCAGCAGAAATTCCAGTATTCACTACATTCACATTCTCTCCTGTGTGTTTTTTTGAAATGCATTGTGACGTTTGATTTCCCATTAAAAGTTTTCCCATGTTCTTTACATGCATATGTTTAAGCCCCAGAGTGGGCTTTCTGATGCTCTCTAAGGCTTGATTTCTGACTGAAAGTTTTCCCACATTTATCACATTTATAGGGTTTCTCCCCTGTGTGAGTTCTCTGATGTACTCTGAGGTTTGATTTCTGACTGAAAGCTTCCCCACACTGATTACAATTATAGGGTTTCTCCCCTGTGTGTGTTCGCAGATGTTTTCTTAGGACTGACTTCTCACTGAAAGCTTTTCCACATTCATTACATTCATAGGGTTTCTCCCCTGTGTGAGTTCTTTGATGCCCTCTGAGATTTGACTTCTGCCTGAAAGTTTTTCCACACTCATCACACTTATAGGGTTTTTCCCCAGTATGAGTTCTGTGATGTACTCTGAGATTTGATTTCTGACTGAAAGATTCTCCACAATGATTACATTTGTAGGGTTTTTCCCCTGTGTGAATTCTATGATGTCCTCTGAGTTGTGATTTCTGACCGAAAGCTTTTCCACACTGATTGCATTTGTAGGGCTTCTCCCCTGTATGTGTTCTATGATGTTTTCTTAGACCTGACTTCAGTTTGAAAGCTTTTCCACATTCATCACATTTATAAGGTCTTTCCCCTGTGTGAGTTCTCCGATGATTCCTTAGGCCTGACATATGGCTGAAAGATTTCCCACATTCATTACATTCAAAGGGTTTCTCCCCTGTGTGAGTTCTTTGATGCACTATGAGGATTGACTTATAGTTGAAAGACTTCCCACATTCATTACATTCAAAGGGTTTCTCCCCTGTGTGGGTTCTCCAGTGTATCCTCAATCCTGACTTTGCACTGAAAGCTTTCTCACATCCATCACATTTATATGGTTTCTCTCCTGTGTGAGTTCTCTCATGTTTTCTTAGACGTGATTTCTCACTGAAAGTTTTTCCACATTCATGACATTCATAGGGTTTCTCTCCTGTGTGAATTTTCTGAGGCTGAATCAAGCATGAATGCATAGAGCAAGATTTTCCACATTCATTACACTCATAAGGGTTTGCTCTTATATGAGTTCTGTGATGGGCACTGAAAGTTGACTGATAGCTCAATGTCTCTGTACATGTTCTCTGTATATGTCTCTGCACATACTCAGAGGATTTATTTGTTATGTGAATTCTCTGATGCACCGGGAGGGCTGAATGATGGCTGAAATCTTTTCCATATTCAAAAGGTTTCACCCCATGAATTCTCTGATGTTCTCTAATGTGTGCTTTTTGGCTAAAAGATTTCCCTTCTGTGTCAGTTTCTTGAGTTGTCCTACTGAAACAATTTCTATTTTTACCAAATTCGTAGTGACTCTCCTCCTCTGGACGAATGCTCTGAGAGACAATGAAGGTTGATTTATCACATCTGCTTTCCCCAAATTTACTGATTTTATAAGATTTCACTTTTTGGGGAGCACTCCTAGATGTAAGGAGGGCAGCCTTTTCAAGGAAAGCTTTTCTAATTTTATTATATTCAAAAGCTTGCCCCAAAGTCTGAATTGTCTGATGTTGAATAACTTCTTCCTTATGACCAAGGGCTTTCACAGTTTTACTATAAACAAAAGATTTCTCTTGAATATTATTTTTGTCATCTTTAATATTGAGGAGCCATTTATTATGCTTATGAGCCTTTTCTTTTGAATACTGACAGTGTGGGGCCAATGGGCTGAGACCCAGGTAAGCAGGCCCTGCAGTGTCACAGTCACAAGGCATGACTTTTGCAGGAAAAATGTTTATGTCCAGATTCCATGGTTTTTCTGAAATTTCCTGGTCTGTAGTCAATGATTTGTTGGTGAATAAAACTTGCCACAAATGTTTGTTGTGGTTTTCTGGGCTCTCCTCTGAGATTTCATCAGCTTGGGAGTCTTCTAAAAATGATAAAATTAAAAATACTTTATGATATTTAACATGCTTTTTATGGAATGGGACTTATATACATTTTCCCTATTATGTATTTGATTCCTCAGTTTCTGGCCAGTTTCCCAACAATAAAGTAATTCCAAGTGCATGTTCCCTATATTTCCTTTCTTTTTTGTTGTTTAATAAATTTATGCTGTAGAAAAAAGAGGAAACTAGAAATGAATATATATATATGTATTTGGAATCTTAAAATATAATTTTCAAAACTGAATAAAGAAGAGGATACAAAGGAAAGAGACAATTGAGAATGGTGTATATTTAAGAGAGTTGGATCCTAGGAACAGGAAAAATCAGAGAATGTGATAAATTCAAAAAGATTATCAACACTAAGTAGATAACAACAACAAAAAAATCAATGGAGAAAGGTTTTCAGTGGATTTATCTGTGACAAGGTCTGCATTAAGTACTAACTAGTCTAGATTATTACTTAGTCAAATATAGATTAAGATGGTAGGATAATCATTAGCCTACAGAATTCCAGTTGGAGCTCCATTTCCATTCTATACATCAACACCAAAATAAACTTATAATGGCACCAATGTCCTCATGTTGAAAGCAACAGTCCTCATTCTCTCTGTAGTATTATCACACGAAATACTACATTTCGAGGCCACATTCTCTCTGTAGTATTATCACACGAAAACAAATGTAGAAGTGGAAGTGTAAAACTGATGGGAATCAAAGTCATTTTTTCACTTAGATTGGACTTACTGCTCTTCCCTGGCTCTGGTGAATCTCTTTAGATCATCAAATCTTAACTTTTCTCCTTTCAATTTGTTCACTCATTTTTCTCAAAACCAGTCTTGTCTTTGATCAATTCTTACCTCTGTTTTCCATATACTTTTAAACACTAGTTTTTACTGACTATGAGAACCTTAAGGATCATATGTCTCAACTGGCCATAGAAACTTTAAAAGTATCCTTTATATTTATTTACCATAAATTTCTTGTGTATATATGACTATTGCCCTGCTGCTACCCACATTCCATGTAAAAATGTCAGGCCTAGGCTATAAATATTCAAAAGACTTAAATACACTGCCTGTGGTCCCAACAGATAAAAGACTTAAGATGAGATTCACGAAAACAAAGTTTTACACTCATTATGTTTTGTAGCTCCTATTCCACTAGCCTACCATATTTTCTGCTCTAGTCTTGCCAGGATAAGAGTCCCCACTAAACAGTTCATTTCAACAATAATCTTATTCTCACAACTCTTCCCTAAATCACCCTGTATTGTAGTCTTAGATCTATGTAGACTAGATGCCCTTCAGACAGCAAAGGTATTTCCCAAACTATACGGAAAAAAGGCTTCTTATATCTTTTCACAAATTTAAACATTTATTTAAAATTTGAAAGGAGTTACTGTTTGTATTATTCATTTTATCAAAGGATACATGCAGAATACTCATACATCTGACACTCACTTAATAAGCAAATTACCATCACTCAAATTAAGAGGCATCTTAAAACTATTAGCAAGTGATAAATGGGTTATTTTCTCTTTGTTGTACATAAAATGACAGTTCAACTTTTAATCAACATCACCTTATATAAAATATATTTTATGTAGCTTGGCTCTCGTTTCCAAAATACAACCCCAATTCGGATATACTTTGTATCTGTCTGTAATGTAAATTAAGCCAGTGGCCCTTAAATAGCAGTATGCCTCAAAATTACCTAGAGAGCTCTTTCATACACAAGGGCTCAGACCCAATGCCACCTATACCTGATGATTCAAAAATCCCAGAAATTTGACTTGGGTATTTACATTTAGGGATGGTGTTTTTTTGAATGAATCAGTATGAAATACCTCTCCCAATTGGCTTTGGAGTTAATCTTCAATGTTATTAAAAGTACTTATATGTTACATTCCATGGACTAGTCATATGGGAGACTGAAACAGAAACCATTCTTCTTAGTGCATTATATATAATCCAGGTGAGGAATGGAGCTCCTGGCACAGAGTCTCATTTTCTTTTGACATATCTATCATCTAGGTTGTGAATTTACAAAAGGAAGAGATAAAGTATAGGCTAAATTATTCCAAGATTAGACCATAGAACTATGAAGAATTTGAGGCAAAACTCCAAATGAATGATAGTGCTTTTTCCCTTTTTCTAGCTGAGCCTACTTATTTTATTTAATTATTTTTATTACAAGAACCACTTTTTGGCTTTATAAGATTTCACTTTTTGGTGGGCACTATCAGATGTAAGGAAGGCAGCCTTTTCAAGGAAAGCTTTTCTACTTTCATTATATTCAAAAGCTTGCCCCAAAGTCTGAATTGTCTGATGTTGAATAACTTCTTCCTTATGACCAAGGGCTTTCATGTTTTTACTATAAACAAAAGATTTCTCTTGAACATTATTTTTGTCATCTTTAATAGAGGAACCATTTATTATGCTTGTGAGCCTTTTATCTTTAATACATCTTTTACTTTGCTTAGTTTTTCTTTTGAAACTTTCTTGCTTTTTAAAATAAGTATATGAGGCTAAATTTTCTTCTAAGCACTGCTTTATCTATAGCCCAAGGTATAGATAATGGTTATAATACTTACAAGGTTTTTTACTTTTAAAATTTTCTGGATATTGGATAATTTTGATTTTGATTTACTCTTTGATTAAATATATTTTAAAATATATATTAATTATTGATACCAAGATAGATTTTAATTCTTATAGTTTGCAATTTACAGTTTTATTGAACAATAATCTCTCTACTTTATGGAATTTATTGACATTTCCCTAAAATACTTTTATATTTTGTCAGTGTTCCAAGATCATTTTAAATTCTTTGTTTTCAGAGTTTTAAAAGACACATTAGATTCATTTTATAAAATATGCTATTTATAACTCCTAGAGCAGGGCTCAGTAAACTTTTTCTGTAAAAGGCAAGAGAGAAATTTTAGGGCTATGCTGATCATATGGTCTCTGTTGCAGCTATTTACCTCTGCCCTGTAGCATGAAGACATAAATAAATGGATATGGCTGCATTCTAATAAATATTTCTATTCTAGAGTCTTTGCTACGAAACCAGAAAAGTTTAATATGTTTCTATTACTCTTTAAAACACTTGCAGTTTTTGTTTTATGCAACTTAGTTTGGTGAAAATATATTCAAAACTTTTCAATGTCATTTTTAAATTTTATGCTTTAAAATATAATCTTGAAATTGTCCATTTTAGCATTATCAAAATCCCTTTTTTCTCATCTGTTTTTTGACCTGAATTGAACCATACGTATCAGTTAATAATAAAACACTGAATTATTTTTATGTTTATTACCTTAGTAATTCATACCTAAATTTTGAACTTCCCAAATTATTTTTAAAATGTATCTGTCTGATAAAATATGATAGTGTTTTCTCTTAATAGATGAATTTAATACATTTGTAAATGGATTCGTTTATGCAGCAAATATGTTTGTCTCATTCTGTATTATGTCATAGGTTTGCACAGCTTTTGTGCAGATAAGAGTTGACAAGCAGGCCTGAGACTGCTACCCTTACAAAGGCTTGCTTGCAAGGTTAGCACTTGGCCGGCATTTAGGAATTTAGATTTCAGGAGAATTCCCAAGACTCTCAGAACTACTAAGAGGGGCTCGCTATGTCAAAACTAGTTGTACAAACAATATGATATGCTCAACACTCGCTTTCTACCTCAAAGTCTGGAATTTTGGTACATGCTAGACAGGATGAGTATGTGAGTAGCCCACAATAAAAATCCTAGGGACCTAAGGAACTTTCCAGGTAGACAACATTTCGCATGTGTTGTCATAATTCATTGCTTAGGGAACTGTGTACTGTATGAACTCAGAAGATTGTGCCTGGTTTCCTCTAAACTTTGCCTCATGCATCTTTTTTCTTTCCTGATTTTGCTTTATATCCTTTCACTGAATAAATTTTAGCCGTGAATCTGACTAAATGCTGAGTTGAGTGAGAACTCCTAGTGAATCAATGAACCTTCTGCCAGTACTCAGTAACTTACCTGGGGAGCTCCTGCTTACAAATTCTTTTCCTGTCTCTAATAACCATGGATCTTCTCCTTGTTCCAATGTGAAGATCAGTTCCGGTTTTATAAAGCAGTACCCTGTAAGTGGGAAATAATTTAGGATTTGAGTTAGCTGCATAGATTGTGCTGTTTCTGAATGTGAAGGAAAGTATGGCTTAGAAAGGGGCACATTACAAATATACAAGTTAAAAAATGTAAAGTTACCACTAAAAGCATAGCAATAGAAGGTGTAATTTACAAACTAGTAGAGTGATTAAAAAATACACACCCAAATCATATAGAGTTGGTAAAAGTATAAAATTACTAAACAGAAGAATACATATAAAATCCAGGTTATTGGTTATTTCCTAGAAGGAAAGAAAATTAATGGGATACAGTAAGATTGGTGGGGAAGAGAGAATTATCAGCCATATTTGCAACATTTTATTTATTTAAAAAACATAAGACAAATCAGACAAAAAAAAAAAGGCACATTAAGAGTACTCAGCTCATTGGACCTTGTTGAAAGGAGAAGTGACAACAAAAAACATTTTCTTAGTTATCAAAATCTGTGGGATCCAGCAAAAGCATTCCTGAGAGAAAAACTAATAGAATTAAATGCTCAGATCCAAAAGACAGAAAACTCACAAATCAACAAACTAATAAACCATCTCAAGGAACTGGAAAAGGAAGATCAAATTAATTCTAAACCTAGTAGAAGAAAACAAAAACTAAGATCTGAGCAGAACTAAATGAAATTGAGAAAAGAACTATACAGAAGATTAACAAAACCGAAAGTTGGTTTTTCAAAAAGATAAACAAAATTGACAGACTGACAAGAAATGACTGACAGACTGTCAAGAACTAGAAAGGAAAGTATTCTAATAAACTCAATCAGAAATGAAAAAGGAGAGGTAACTAAAGACATCATGGAAATACAAAACATTATCTTTGAATACTACAAAAGTCTATATGCCCCAAAACTACAAAACATGGAGGAAATGGACAAATACTTAGAAACATACAACCTTCCTAGGCTCAATCAGGAAGAAATAGAATTCTTGAACAGACCAATATCAAGCACAGAAATTAAAGCAGCAATTAAACATCTCCCAACAAAAAAAAGTCCCGGACCAGATGGGTTCACACCTGAATTTTACCAAACTTACAAAGAAGAACTCATACCTATATTGCAGAAATTATTCCACAACATTGAGAAGGATGGTATCCTCCCCAACGCATTCTACGAAGCCAATATCACCTTGATACCAATGCCAGGAAAGGATAAAACACACAAAAAAGAAAACTACAGACCAATATCCCTCATGAATATACATGCATAAATCCTCAACAAAATCTTAGCAAGCCAAATGTAAGACCACATCAAAAAAGTAATTCATCATGACCAGGTGTGTTTTATTCCAGAGATGCAAGGTTGGTTCAACATACACAAATCTATAAATGCAATTCATCACATAAATAAAAGCAAGAACAAAGACCATATGATTCTCCCAACAGATGCAAAAAAAGCAAAATCCAGCACACTTTTATGATATAGACTTTAAACAAAATAGGCATAGATGGGACATACCTTAAAATTATTAAGGTTATATATGATAAACCCACAGCCAATATCATACTTAACGGGGAAAATTGAAAGCATTCCTGCTTAGAACTGGAAGCAGACAAGGTTGCCCACTATCTCCACTTCTATTCAACATAGTGCTGGAAGTCCTTGCGAAAGCAATCAGACAAGAGAGAGGAAGTAAGGGTGTCCAAATGGGGGAAGGAGAGGCCAAACTCTCACTTTTTGCTGATGATATTAAATCTAGAAAATTCCAAGGATTCAACCAAGAGACTCCTGGAATTGATAAATGAATTCAGTATAGTCTCAGGATACAAAATGAATGCATACAAAACAGGGGCATTCATATACGCCAATAACAGTTAAGTCAAAAATTAAATAAAAAATGCAACAACTTTCACAATAGCATCAAAGAAAATTAAATATTTAGGAATATATTTAATGAAGGAGGTGAGAGACATATATAGGCAGAACTATGAAACACTGAGAAAAGAAATTGTAGAAAATGTAAACACATGGAAAACGCTACCATGCTCACGTATTGACAAAATCAATATTGTTAAAATGCCCATACTACCTAAAGTGATCTATAGAACTAATGCAATCCCTAACAAAATACCACCATTATTCTTTACAGATCTAGAAAAAATAATTCTATACTTTGTACGGAACCAGAGAAGACCTTGTGTAGCCAAAGCAATCTTAAGCAAAAAGAACAAATTGGGAGGCATTAGTCTACCAGACTTCAAGCTTTACTACGAGGCTATAGTAAACAAAACAGCATTGTACTGGGACAAGAACAGAGATATAGACCTCTGGAATAGTACTGAGAACCCAGATATAAAACCATCCTCATATTGTCATCTAATCCTCAACAAAGCAGACAAAAAAATACACTGGGGAAAAGAATCTCTATTAAATAGATGGTGCTGGGAAAACTGGATAACCACATGCAGAAGATTGAAACTAGATGCCCACCTCTCACCTCTCACCAAAACATCAACTCACAATGGATAACAGACTTAAACCTAAGATGTGAAACCTTAAGAATTCTAGAAGAAAATGTTGGGGAAACTCTTATAGACATTGGCCTAGGCAAAGAATTTATGAAAAAGACCTCTAAAGCAATCACAGCAGCAATGAAAATAAATAAATGGGACCTGATCAAATTAAAAATCTTCTGCACAGCCAAGGAAACTATTATTAGAGCAAACAGAATGGAAGAAAATATCTGCATATTAAACATCCAATAAAGGGCTGATAACAAAAATCTCTATAGAACTTAAGAAAATCAACAAGAAAAAAAATCAAACAACCCCATCAATAAATGGGCAAGAGACATGAACAAAAACTTTTCAAAAGAAGACAGAATAAGGGCCAACAAACATATAAAAAAGTGGTCAACATCTCTAATCATTAGGGAAATGCAAATCAAAACTACAATGAGATATCACCTAACTCCCGTGTGACTGGCCTCTATCAAAAAGTCCCAAAACAAAAAATGCTGGCATGTATGTGGAGTGGTAGGAACACTCTTACACTGCTGGTGGGACTGCAAATTAGTACAATCCCTGTGGAAAGTAATTTATAGATATCTCAAAGAGCTAAAAATAGAAATACCATTTGATTGAGAAATCCCACTACTAGGCATCTATCTAAAAGAAAAAAAAGGCATTCTATAATAAAGATACATGCATTCGAATGTTTATGGCAGTACAATTAACAATTGTAGATATGTGGAAACAACTCAAGTGCCCATCAATACATGAGTAGATTAATAAAATGTGGTATCTGTTCACCATGAAATACTACTCAACTACAAAAAACAATGGTGAACTAGCACCTCTTATATTATCCTGGATAGAGCTTGAGCCCATCCTTCAAAGTGAGGTATCATAAGAATGGAAAAATAAGCACCACATGTAACTCGCCATGAAATTGGTACTAACTGATCAACACTAAGGTGCTCACATGGTAGTAATATTCACTGGGTGCCAGTCAGGTGGGAGGGGGTGGTGGGGATAGGTTAACTCACAACTAATGGACACAGAGTGCACTGTATGGGGAAGGGCATGGTTGTAGCTCTGGCTTGGGCGAGGCAAAGGCATTATATGTAACCAAAATGTTTGTACCCCCATAATATTCTGAAATAAAAAAGAAGGAATTAAACTTATAATTTAATCTCCCTAAAAAAAAAAAAAATCTCCAGGCTCAGATGGTTTCACTACAATAGTATACCACATATTTAATGAAGAATAGACACCAATTCTACACAATGTCATCCAGAAAAATTGGAGGAATGATTTTCCAGCTAATTTTATGAGGCCAGAATTAACCCTGATATGAAAACCAAGCAAGGATAGTACAAAACTATAGACTAATTTTTCTCATGAATGCAAAACTACTTAACCAAATATTGGCAAATAGAATTGAGCAATAAATAAAAAGGATTATATGACATGACTGAGGAAAGTTTATTCCAAATATGCAGGGCTGGTTCAATATGTGAAAATCAGTTAATATAGTCTACCACAGACTGGGTGGGATAAAGAAGAAAAACCATAGCAATAGATAAAGAAAAACTATTTGACAAAATTCAATATCCATTCATAATAAATACTCTCAAAAAACTAGGAATAGAGTAGAACCTCCTCTATTTGATCAAGAATATCTACAAAAAACCTCCTGCCAAGAAAATGAAATAAAAGGCATGCATATCAGAAAGAAGATATTAAACTGACATTATTCACAGGTGACATATTGGCCTATATAAAAAAATTCCAAGAAATTTACAAAAAATCCTCCTAGAACTAGTAAGAGAGTTCAGGAAAGTTCAGCAAGATCTCAGCATAAAAGAACAACGAACAAAAATCAATTACATACCTAAAAACTAGAAACCTATCTATGGAAACACATTAAAAACACAATGCCATTAAGAATCACTCAACCAAATCAAATACTGAGGTATAAATCTAACAAAACACGTACAAGACTTCTACACTGAAAACTACAAAACACTGAAGAAAGAAATCAAGATCTAAGTAAATGTAAAGATACACTGTGTTTCTGGATTATAAGACTCAACAGAGTAATGATGTTAACTGTTACAAAACTGATAAATAGGTTTAATTTAATTCCTATCAAACACCCAGCAAAATTTAATGCAATGACATTATGCTAATATTTATATGCAAAGGCAAATTAACTAGAATAGCTAAAACAATATTGAAAAAATATATAATATGGAAAATATCACTCTACCTGATTTAAAGAACACAGAAATAGACCTATAAAAGTACAGCCAACTGATTTTTGACAAAAGTGAAAAGGCAATTCAATGAAGGATAGTGGTGCTGGATGGAGCAAATGAATATCTACAGGCTAAAAAAAAAAATTTCAACTTAAACTTCATTCCCTGTGCAAAAATTAACTCAAAATGCACCGTGATTTAAATATAAAATATGTAATAGCATAATTTTAAAAAATAGGTGATCAGTGGCCCAAGGACTTGGTGAAGAGTTTTTAGACATGACAAAAGTGTTTAAAAATTGATAAACTGGACTTCATCAAAATAAAAAACTTACTTTCCACAAAAGACCCTAAGAAGAGGATGAAAAAACGAGTCATAGACTGGTATAAAAGTGTGCAATCCACATATCTGACAAAGAACTCATCTCTGGACTAGTCTAAATTCTCAAAAGTCAATGTTTAAAAATAAAATCTCTGATTAAAAATGGGCAAAAGTTGGCCAGGTGCAGTGGTTCATGCCTGTAATCCCAGTGCTTTGGGAGGCCAAGGCAGGAGGATTACTTGAGGCCAGGAGTTTGAGACCATCCTGGGCAATATAGTGAGATCCATCTCCACAAAAACTTTTTAAAAATTAGCCAGGCCTGGTGGCGCTAGCCTGTAGTCCCACCTGCGCAGGAGGCTGAAGCACAAGGATGGCTTGAGCCTAAGAGCTCGAGGCTGCAGTGAGCTATGATCACACTACTCATCTCTAGCCTGGGTGACAGAATGAGACCCTGTCTCAAAAAGAAAAAAAAAAAAAAGAGGAAGCCAGAGATGGAGAGAAAGTTTGTAAGATATATATCTAATAAAAACCTGAATTTCTTCAACGCAACAATAAGACAAAAACCCCCACAAACTAAACAAAAAATTGGCTAAAGATTTGATCAGACACCTAAAAAGCACACGAAAAAAGGTTCAACATTATTAGTCACCAGGGAAATGCAAATTAAAATCCAATAAGATACAACTAGACACCAACTAAAATGGTCAAAAATAATATGACTTACTAAATATCAGTAATCAAAGAGCAACGGGAACTTACAGATATTGCTGTGGGCACGAAAAACAGTAGAGCCAGTCTGGAAACATTGGGTAGCTTCTTACAAAGTTACATACAAACTTACTTACCAGAAGACCCAGCAAGCCCACTCCTAGATATTCACACAAGAGAAATGAAAATATGTTGACACAAAGATGTGTATGTGAATGTTCATAACAGCTTTATTCATAATAGGCCCAAACTAGAAAAAAAAAATTCGTATGTTGACCAACTGATAAAGCACAACAAATTGTGGGATATGCACACAAAGGAACACTAACTTAGGACAAAAATAATAAGCTGTTGATACATATAAACACATGCATGAATCTTAAAAGCATATGCTAAAGAAAAGAATCCAGAAAAAAGACAATATATACTCTATGATTCCATTTACATGAAGTTTGAGAAAGGGCAAAATTACTGCAATTGAAAGCAGATCACTAGGTCCCAGGGTTCAAAGGGTAGGTATGAGGGAGGGAGACTCACAGCAAAGGGCTACATGGAATCTTCCTGGGGTAACAGTATACTGAAACGTGCTGAATTTTATTTTCTGTTAAATACACTTCAATAAAAGCGATTAACATGAAAAAAAGAAAAAAGAAGAAACAGAATTGCACTGTAGAGGGAGTCACGTGGTAAGGCGTGCTCACCCACTGAGACGAGGTGGCTGTAGTTCTCCAGCATCACATCTCTGTACAAGTTCCTCTGCGCAGGGCCCATCTGCTGCCACTCCTCCTGGGTGAATTCCACAGTCACGTCCTCGAATGACACTGATGCCTGTAATGGTACATTTCTGATTAATCTGAGGGTTCAAAATCAGGAATAGAAAAATATTTTTGGAAACTCACTCATTATGTTTATTGTTGAGAGTTTAAAACAAAATGCTATGAAAAATGCCTATCATGGCTCTAATTCTGTCTTATTCTTTGGGAATACATAATTAGCACAAATATTCTCATGCTCTGATTTGTTTATATTCATTTTAAATTATATACATACACGCCCTATAACTTAATATACTGAGGAAGCTTAGTGCCTTATATTTTTATTTATTTTTTTTTATTTTATTTTTTTTTTTGAGACAGAGTCTCGCTTTGTTACCCAGGCTAGAGTGAGTGCCATGGCGTCAGCCTAGCTCACAGCAACCTCAAACTCCTAGGCTCAAGCAATCCTCCTGCCTCAGCCTCCCGAGTAGCTGGGACTACAGGCATGCGCCACCATGCCCGGCTAATTTTTTTTCTATATATATTAGTTGGCCAATTAATTTGTTTCTATTTATAGTAGAGACGGGGTCTCACTCTTGCTCAGGGTGGTTTTGAACTCCTGACCTTGAGCAATCCGCCCGCCTCGGCCTCCCAGAGTGCTAGGATTACAGGCGTGAGCCACCACGCCTGGCCTGCCTTATATTTTTAAGTACAATTATTATAAATTGGATTCCTATATACATTTCTCATACATCAATGGATTATGCTGAGCACTCTGTAGTGCATACACCGCAAACTGGAGATCTCTGCTGGGGTAACAGGGAACCAAGGAAGACAAATGTGTAAACCCGAGAGGTATTCCACACAACCAGATTTATATTTCAGAAGCAATGCTCTATAACAGGGTTTCTTTAGCTTGGCACTACTGACTGTGGACCAGATTATGCATTTTTGTGATGGACTATCCTGTGCATTTTAGGGTGTTTAGTAGTATCCCTATCTTCTACCCATTGATGTCAGTAGCATCCCCAGTTGTGATAATCAAAAATATCTTTAAACATTGTCAAATGTCTGCAGGGGAGCAAAATCACCTCCAGTTAGGAACCATTGCTCTATGTGAACAGTGGACTTAAACAGCAAAACAAAAGACCCAAATTACAAGATGATCTATATCAAGGAAAAGCAACAAAGAAAGGGAAGCTAATCCTTATAGGAAACAAAATCTGTTCATTATTTTCTTGTGCAACTATATACAGAGATGCTGCATAGCAATTGAGTTGGTGATGATACCATACACAGAGATCGGAAAAATGAATAAGAGTAAGAGACTGGGCAGAGAGTGGTAGTGAGGCAGATGTTCTTCATCTGTACTCAAAATACCTGTGGAACATAACAGACTTACCTCCTCCACTTTTGGTCACATGATTTTGGAACAGAGAAGGAAGGTCTAAAATGAAAATAAGAATCTAGAAGACATTAGTCACAAAAATGGTAACTGAAGGCTTAACAGAAAAAGAGCTGGCACAGAAAGGACATAGAAACTGGGGAGAGAAAAGTACCATGTAAGGCATTTAAGGAAATAGCAATATTTATTAATAAGAGGTGGGCAGAAAAAGAATAGGACATAAAGGCTGAGAAAGAATTTCTAAATGATGGAAAGAGAAATCAGAGATATTAGACTACTGAAAATTAAGAAAAGAGAATTGCAAACATAAATGATTCCAATAGTTCAAGACAATAGACTGAGCACACACATTTGTATCACTTGCCTTCAAAAATATACTTGGCTAAAATACAAAACCCACTATAAATGTATGACAAAGGAAGAATACAGGGAAGCATCCCAGCAGAAGCTGGAAAATCTGCACAAATTCTGGTAGACAGAGGGTAAGATAGTATTAGATAGCAAAAACATGGCAATGTTGCGCACAATCTAACACAAACAGAGAGGGCAGAAGAAGCCGCGTGCTGATGAGAGCCCCAGAGACAGTCCACTGCTCAAATGAATCACACTTAGAAACAAAGTGTGCCATGGGAAGAGTAAATAACTGAAATCCCTTGGGAGGGCTTCATATCGTGCCTGTTCTGTAGACATCTACAGGAAATCTTCATGAGAAGCACTCTCTATGTAAGGTCAAGAGAAATGCTTCAGGAGCTCTGGGCAGCTAGAGGGAGAAGCACAGGCTATGTATGTATTCATTCATTCATTCAGAGAGAGAGTCTCATTCTGTTGCTTGGGCTAGAGTGCCATGAAATCAGCCTAGCTCACAGCAACTTAAAACTCCTGGCTCAGTGATCCACCTGCCTCAGACTCTCGAGTAGCTGGGACTACAGGCATGCACCACCATGCCTGGCTAATTTTTATATATATACCAGCTAATTTCTTTCTATTTTTTCAGTAGAGATGGGGTGTCGCTCTTGCTCTGGTAGTCTCGAACTCCTGAGCTCAAACGATCTGCCCGCCTCGGCGGCCTCCCAGAGTGCTAGGATTACAGGCGTGAGCCACCACGCCCAGCCCTATTCTTGTATTTAAAGTTTGATGATCCTTCTATAGATGATGTCAAAGTATAAACTTTCATTTTATGATTGTTCATTGATGGGATATAGATATTAATTTCCATTATTTTATACTGATCTTGTATACAGCTAATTGCTAACATTAATTCTAATAGCTTATCTGTAAATTCTTCTGGGTTTTCTATATATGCAATCATGTAACCTCTAAGAAATGGGAGTTTTATTTCTTTCTTTCTAATCCTTGTACTTTTTCCTTCTTTCTTTTTCCTTTCTTTTTGTAACCAGTACCACTGGTTAAAATTTCCAATACAATATTTTCAATCTCAGGAGAAACCTTTCCATATGAAATTATGTTACAGTAGGTTTTTAAAGATACTATTTATCAAATTAAGAAAGAGCCCTTCTATTCTTAGAGTTCATTACTAGGAATTAAGAGTTCGTTAATAGGAATTAAATTTTTTCAAATTCATTTACTACATGTAATCATATAACCATATGATTTCTCTCCTTTACTCTTACTGTGATGAATTATGTAAATTTTTTATTAACTCAAACTTACATTCCTCAAAGGACAAAGTTGGAGAGACTCCCATGACCTGATTTTAAGACTTACTGTTAAGAGAAACTCATCAAAGCAGTGTGGTATTAGCAAAAAGATAAACATAGATCATTAGAAGCAAAGAGAGTCCAGAAACAGACCCACATATACGTCCAGTTAATGATGTCCGACAGAGATGTCAAGGCAATCCAATGGAGGCAGTACATTCTTTTCACCAAATAGCGCTGACAGATGCGTGTGCAAAAGTGGAAGGCACAAATATGGCAAGTGTATGTTGATCTGCTCCCAATATTTAGAGTATGCTGCCAGCACAAAACCCTCAAATTATGAATCTAGGTTTCAGACTGGGCCAACTAGAATATATTTTGACCATTTTTGATCAGCAGTTTTTATACTAAAATTTAAAAGCCAATCAAAAAGGAATTATTGATATAGCAAAGGAAATACAGGCTTTGAAATCCTAAGAGAATACTATCAACAAATTCATGAAAATACATTTAAAAATGTAAATGAAAATGAATAATTTTCTATGAAAATGTAATAAAAATTATATTAAGAGAAAATACAAATCCAGTACAGGCTTATGATAAGTTGATTAATAAATTGACTAACATATTGATTCAGTAATCAAAATCTTCACAAAAAAGTCTTCTTCACAGGGTCAAAATGTATATGTGAATTTCACAAAAATCTATATAAAACAATTTTCTCATTTTGCTAAATTATTAGAAAAGAAAAAAAGGAACATGAAAGAACCCATTTCCTTTAGAGACTATAACCATGATACCATAATTGGATAGGAAAATAAGAAAGTATAGTCTAATCCAGCTTGTGAATACAGAAATAGAAATCCTAAATAAAATATTAGCAAAAAGCCCCAGGAAAATACATAAGAAGAAATTTACCATGCTTATTAGCAACTAGGGTCTATACAAAAATTCCAGTTAATATTATAAAATCCATTGAATTATTCACAATGTTTATAAATCAAAGGAAATAGCTATAGCTTTATTTCAATAGATAAACAAAAGATATTCAATATAATTCAGTACATATTCATGACATGAAATCTTAGCAAATTGGTAACTGGAGAGAATCTACTTACTCTGACAATGGTTATTTATCAAAAGCTGGGAGCAACATGAGTTCATGGTAAAACTGTGTTATTTTCCCTCAAGAATGACTTGCTCTATTTCTATTTTTCCTTTCCATTTAATGCATGGACCCTTCCAAACCTCATAAATCCCTTACAATACAAAGTCAGGAATGAATAAAGAGCTCACCTGAGACATGTACATTTTCTGTGGTTCTTGGGAGACTGCAGAGAACTGTGAAGGCTCACCTGAGGGTACAGAAAGAGGACAGGTCATGAGGTCTGGCCTACCTCACAGCAACCCACTTGGGGAGCGGCCTCTCTAAGAGAATAGGGTCCTACAGGCCTTGAAAAGGCACGAGAAGGGCCATGTAGAGGTGGCACCACCTGTCTCTATATAACTCTGAAATGTTTATGGGGATTAAACCTGTTTTACTGAATGAACATAAACTTTTCTCAATTGATTTAACAATAATGCATGTCCTTCTAACTAACATAAAGAAATAAAAACAATAGAGAAGTAGCAGGATTAAAGTAAACCAAAGCATAAGACCCTATTCTTTCATTAAAATAAACTTAGCAGAAAAATACTCAGTGTGCATCATTTGTGTATTTTTCTTAGGAATATTGTTTACTCCTTGGTAATCCACAGAAAGCCTTGTAAGAGAGATGAAATGCTTCAAGGGAAATGTTTTAAATGTTTGTTTCAACTTGGATGTATTTCTCTAAAGGCTCTTTTGATAATATGCTTTTGGTAATTCACCTGTGAGAGTAAACTGCGCTGTTTTCTTCCTGGCTCTGTCATAAATCATATGCCCCTGGAAAGTCACTGAGTCTTTGACTTTGAATGTCTTTAAAGCTTCCAAAAGAGTTAGAAGTAGGTAACCTTAGAAAACCCTTCATGCATCCTCACTCTGGGATTCTGTGAGGTCAGGATGAAGTCTTCAGTGCCACATGCATGACAGCAGTGCAGCATCTGTAAAGAGTGGAGAACAAAGGGACCGGGGGCTATTTTGGGATCACTGGAACAGTATTTCCACCCTCTGCCTAGTTACCCCTGACCCCCAGACCTCACATCACAAGTTCTGCAACGATGTGGTCTTTCCTGGGCAGCCTGCCACTGGGCCTCCCCAGCTCACCTGGCTCTTCTCAGAGCTGGACCAAACCTCCCACTATTATCCAGTGTCTTCTGGAGGTGGTGTCACCACCAAGTGTGGCTCATTCTGGGTACAAGGATCAGGAATTGCTTCTGGCCACACAAATCCAGTAATTGCTCCTTTCTGGGCTCTTTTGCCTCTGCTCTTAAGCTCTGGAGAGAGGTCTAGGCCAGACAGGTGCTCTCCTCCAGGTAAAACTCCTGTTCAGCGGCTCCCTGTTTCCTACCTCACAAGTTTGCCTTGTTCAAGGAGCTGGGACCTGGACCTGAAAAACAAAGTCATTTCACAGGCAAAAATCTGACCCTTAGAATTCATTATTAGACTTAAAAGACATATACAGCCTCACAGTGCAGAAGGGGCCAGGAACTTGTCTGAACCAAGGGAGCTGAAGAAACACCAGAAATCCCAAAATACATATGACACATGGAGAGGTTCCATCTATATCCATCTCCCATTATATCTTTGTGTTTTGGGGGATATGTCACTCTGCTAGGTGCTGCGAAGGCTGCAATACTAGTTTTAGGCAGGTGCGATATTAGACAATCCCTGAGACCGGAAGTAATGCACACCTGCCCTTGAATCTGAGTTCCCTCACCTCCAGCTTGTGACCTGAACACATCGCTCCACCAACAGGAGCCTCAGTCATTATTTTTAATCCAAATGGTTATATTGATCTCATAGAGTGGTTGTGAGGTTTACATAAGCCACCCAGTGAATAGAAAAAAGTGTCTTCTAAATATAAACAGCAGTTGTCACTCAAGGCTTAGTAACCTGCATCTGGCAGTTTGCTTTACAGGTGATATGACTTATCTAAGTTTCAAAACAACGCCATGTAGTTATTAATACCCTCATTTTAGATGAGAAACCAGGCTCTTACCCAGGTTCTTTCCCTCGCCCCTGCTTACAGGCAATAGAGAATTTACCGAGGTCTCTCTGGCTGCAGAGCTCGCGGTCTACCGTCAGACCCACCTCCCGCGCTTTCAGGCACGTTCGTCAACTTTTACAAACAAGCTTTCCCCTCCGGCCGCCGGCTGGCCGGGCTCAAGGTCCGCACGCCAGGGCCAGCACGGGGCACCGGGTCCTGACGAGCGCTCAGCCCCAACCGCGCCCCGGAGCCCGCGGGGTTGGGGTCCCTCCCCCGGCCTTCCCCGGCCAGCCGAGGGCCTGTCCTGTCGCCTTCACTGGCGCTCGGGGCGGGAAGCCCAGGAACTTCCCGATGTCTCTTCCGACTGCAAGCGCCCCCTCCCGCCTGGTTCCCCGCACTCTCACCCCAGGTGCGCACACGCTAGTTTGCTACCAGTCCCCGAGGTTCCCAAACCGCTCCCCCTGAGAACCCGAAGCCAAATGAGGAGGCGGGGCTATGGCCGCACAGGCGCAGAAGGAGGCAGTAGCCCCTTCCCAGAGTGCCGCGCGGGGAACCAGACCAAGTTAAGACTACATTTCCCACAAACCTCTGCGCCCACTTTTGAAATGATTGACAACGCTGGAGGATGAAGTTTCTAAGCGCTTCCTGCTCAGGGTCTCTAAGAGCTAGAAGAGGTTAAGGTTTAAACTTGAACGCTACTGTCGAATGCAAAAGGTGGCCTTCAATTGCCTCCTGATTGAAATAACAGCATTTTTTCCCCATAAAACTTTCAGAGACAATTGGGGAAACAATATGGATTAGTTATTGAAAATATTAAGAAAATGTACTGTTACTTTTGTAAACTGTGAAAAAAAATTGGAGTTATGTAGAGAAATTGATTTAGTTTTTTTCTTTTTAAGCAGGGTCTTGCGCTGTCGCCCAGGCTGGTCTTGAACTCCTGCTCTTAGGCGATTCTTTGGCCTTGGCCTCCCAAAGTGCTGGGATTATATAGATGAGTGAGTATGGGTGAGTCTGGCAAAAATTTGATTTTTCAAAAAAGATATGACTACTGAAGTATTTAGGATTGAAGTACTATAACTTTAAATTTACTTTATAATTTTATAAATTTTCAACTTAGAACTTCCGTCTTGTCCCTTTGTAGCTAACCTGACCCACTGACCCACAAGCCCTGTCCTGGCGCCCCCAGAGCCCAGCATGGAGCTTCTAAGGCAGGTCGAGTCAGGTGCTGTAGGTATTAGAGGTATATAGAATATCTATTGGTTTTTATACATTAACATTGCTTTTGATGAATTCTTTCAACACATTTCTATGTTAATTATCTTGGATTTCCATGCTTATAATGACAAGTTTGCTGTTCTTTTGCTGATTATTTATAATTCTCTGTCATTCTTTGATGAATTACAAATAAAAGCGCAAAATTGCTGGTCGAACTATATTAAACTAATCACAATAGAATTTAACCGAAAGATCATTAATGGAAAGTGGTCACTACATATGTTCATTCAACAAATATGTATTGAAAACCTGCTGTGTGATACATATCACTCAGGATGCTAGGGCAGTAACATGAAATAAAGAGATAAAATTTCCTGCCCATATGAAGTCTGTGATCGGGGTTGCTGTGGGGACACCAGAGAGTGATAGATGGGGCTCTCAAAACAGGGCTGGTGAAGCGTCCTGTGAACAGTGACTATAGGGAGCCATTGTTATCCATAGGCTACCTAGCCTATAGTGAAGGTAAGAAGTATTACTAGAACCTGGCAGAAAATGCCACCCCTGTAGGAGTTGTGGCCTTAGGAAGAGAAAGATTGTAATAGCTAATTCATGGCTCACCACAGAGAGCCAAAGGAATGAATACCCAAACCTCACTTGTTTTCTTCCCTCAAATGTCCTATCTCCTCTGTTAAGTATTTGTAATCACCATTCTATATCTATTCCTACAATCCCATGCACATACATCTCCACCAGACCTTTGTCACCAATTTTCCAGTCTTTTTCTTGTCTAACCACCAGCTACCAGTCAACTCACTGAGCCATTGGACATGAATAGGTATATATCTAAACTCAGGACAGGTCTCTTCTTCAAAGTGAACAACCAACTATACCTCCCCTTCAACTCCGCCCATTGAGAAGATTTCTTTTCACTACACATTTCAGAACCACCCCTATGTGAATTGTAATTGCAGCAGCCGTCACTTCCAATGATGTCACCACACATTGTAGACCCAGTTTGAAGGAGATTCAATCCATACATGGACAAAGGTTTCCTTGGGAGTACTTGGGGAATGATTCGTGGCATATACTTGTGACTAAGTTATGAGGAATTTCATCAAAGGGACCCAGCCTCCCCTTTAGTTGAAGCCTCCTGTGTATAAACTAGGATATATTAGGGACTAGGAGAGATTATCTGAATCCCTGTTATGATGATTCATGTTAGTTTTCTGCCCATGAGACCTAGAATTTCACATACATACATTTTTATACACACACTACATATATATACACGGTATATATACTATATATAAATGAATATATAATGAATATACAGATGGGTACCCTGCTAAGGTGTATATATCTATTTCATTTCAATGAACTTCATGATCAAAAAGCAACCACCAACCACCACAGATCCATTCAGGTTACTACAAAAGGTGCCTGTACATCAGAAATACCTGGTGAGTTTTAAAAAATATTTATCAGGATTTCATTGGAAAAATATACATTTCCTTGGTATAAAATGCAGTATGGGCTCCTCCTCAGTCTACAGTGGGCATACTTGTATTGATAAATTTGGTCCTAGCCAAATATATTTTATTCTTTTTGGTCTAATATCCTAAGGATACATATACTCATATATGCTACCTAGTTCCTGCTTGTACTATTAATCTTCAGTTTCTTTGAAGTTTTTTTTTTTTTTT